TATTTATTTTTATCAATTTTCCTTTTCAAGCTGTTGCTTCCGTGAATAGTCAAAAAAAACATCAAACTAGTGGTGTATGGCATCGTACCTTAAGGCAAGTTGCAGGAACTTCCCGTACCAAAAATTAAATATTTCAAAAAAGATTATTTTTATTTTAAACTTTGAAAAAAAAAACATTTTTTTTATTAATCTCCATAAAATATCTGATAATTTGATGCGCATATGTCTAAAGATCATTTTTGATCGCCAAATGACTTTTTTGTACTTTTTTTACTGGATCTCCAAAACCGCTAGACCTGCCTTCCCAAAAAAACAATTATTGATTATTTTCATTCCTCGAATGTCTAAATACGGTACGGGAAGTTCCAGCAATTTGCCTTAAGGCACGATGCCATGCACCCCACTAGTTGCTAGGATAACTTAGCTCAAAAGTGTGCGTTGGTTAAGGTTGTAACATTTATTTCATGTCTTTTGCTATCTAAAACAAAATAATAAAGAAAAAGGGAAATAAAAATTCAATACAAGCAAAAAAATCGCAAAGTTTTCTTGTTAATTTTGTTTAAAAAAATATGTTTTGTTATTTATTGTTGTATTCATAAAATTTAATTAAACGATTATGATGTGTTGTATTACATATTTTGACAATAAAAGTCGTTATAAACCATTTTGGTGTTTATACCTATTATTTTTTAACCGAAGTTTATGCCTGTCACAACCGTCCTGGGGGTGTGTTGCGTACCCAGTCTCCCCTATTTGTATAAATAAATTTAATTTTTAATGATGTTTTTTTCAAAACGTTTTGATTTTAACTTTTATTTGTTAATTGTAACAATTTTATATATTTTGAAAAGTTCATCGAACATAGTTTTTCATTTGTAAATAATTCAAATTTTAAACAAAAAAAATTAAATAAAGATATTCTGATGCAAAACATATTCGTTTAAATTTTTTATATATTTTTCTAAGTTTAAACAATAACATATTATCAAATAATTAAGAAAAACCATACATCTTGTGTAATTATTAAGTTCTTTGGTATGGTGAGAATCTTTGTTTTCTAACTCGCGCTGCAAAGTACTGTTCGATAGTTTATATATTTCAGTGAATTTCTCGGCTTCATATTGATGTTTCGCATTACATGCACAATTTTTGGATGGCCTCTCGAAAGGGAGGCTTCATAACAATCATATTTATAATATATATCGTATGAAGCATAGCTCCTTACGGATCAGAGACATGGACTCTGAAAAAGGTCGACGAAAACTATACGAAGAGTTTTGAAATGTGGTGCTGGAGGCGTATAGAGAAGATAAATTCGGCAGATAAGATATAAAATAAAGTGCAGAAGAGAGTGGGCGAAGAAAGAACTCTACTGAGCACAATCATCAAAAGAAAAGGATACTGGTTCATACCCATTCTGCAAAAAGAGTGCTTTCTACATGGCGTTGTTGAAATTAAAATATAAGAACTTGAAGAATTGGGTAGAAGAAGAATGCAGATGATTGATGATCTACGTAAAAAAATGTTCTTCTTTACGTTTGAAAGCTTTCTGAACATTTTGGTATATATTAGAAATAATGGATGTTTGTGTAGGTGTATATTGTGTTTGCGTGTGTGTTTGCGAATACAAATTCTCGTTGATGATTTCGGGAACACGGTTCAACCGAATTGAATGATTCAAAAAACGTTCGATTCCTATTGATAATGAGACGTGCTGATTAGTTTTTGGCAAAGGCAGGTGTAGCCGTTTTGGAGATACGAGGAAAAAGGTGTCAAAAATGGTTTTAAGAGAACGGAGCGTCCGATTTTAATAATTCAAAAAAACATTTTACTTGTATTGACAAGGCGAAGAACTGATTTGGGAAGACAGGTCTAGCAATTATAGACTCTCAATAAAAATAAGTTAAAAAATGCCTTTTGGCGATCAAAGAAGATCATTTAGACATATGCACATGAAATTATCAGATATTTTATAGAGATTTTAATAATGTGTACACATTTTGTGTAATTTTTTTTTGCGTTCCGTACCAAGATTTTCAATTACGGTACGGAAAGTTCCAGCAATTTGCCTTAAAGCACGATGCCATGCACCCCACTAGTTAATTTTATTCATAGAACATTTCCTCCACGGCAAGTTTTAGCAGTATGCCTTAGGCCCAATTCTAACATACACTACCAGCCTTATTTTAATGTTTAATATTTTTCAAATGGTTCATGTATAATATTCGTTATAAAAATTTTGGATGTCTATTAAAAAAATAGAACAAGTACTTTAGACGTCAAAAATTAAATTAAATTAATTTGGGTCTCATACTCTATTATAAATGTTATTTCAGCGCGATCTGATTTATAAACATTGATAATATTTACTATCCTTACATTTTTTTTCAGATCCTTATCCGCCGCCATTTTTAGAAAAATATGGTGCAGCGTGTTCTCCAGATTGTCCTTGTCGCCTTACAGACTCTGAGCGAGATTTGTTGCAGAAAGCTTTGGCTGATCGAGAAGTCATGCGGCAACGCCAACTCCGGGAAGGATCCCAGCGTAAGTTAATGATAATGTTTAAATTTTCAGTTTTATCGCCAATATACAAAACTCAGCTAGAAAATTAACGACAAGAACTCTTCTGAAAACATCTCGGTTCAAAATAGTCCCTTCAGGACCCATCAATTTTTTGCATGATCTGAAAGCGTTTCAAAAGAATGCTTAAAGGATTGGACGAAATGTCCACTAAAATGTTGGTCGAGCATTTTAATTGACTTCTAAGTACATGAAATGATATCCTGACAAAGACCAATGTAATTTAAATAAGTAGAAGTGCAAAAGTGATTGGCATTTTTAATCAAACCATTTTATTATATCAGTCTTATCCAATGAGGCAGATGATTTAGATTTAGGAACAAATTTGTACACGTACTGATGACACATATATACAGTCAATTAATCTAATATATCGATCAAGTTAATTAAGACAGATGCTTCCTATTCTGCGACATGAGCCTACAAAATGACAACAAATAAAATCAAACCAGCAAAAAATCTACCTTTTTACAACGCACACTTCACTTCCAAAAAGCAGCATCAAAATGGCTACATCCAAGTATCTTTTATTAGTTCCCGGGGTTGGTGGTTCCACCGTCACAGGCACTCCAGGCAGCGGAGGTTCGCCCTTGGCACCAGGAACTGTCTCGGGGATTACGTCTGGGCTACCAGGTTACGGCGGCGAAGAAGAAGGAGCTGGAGGAGCAGGAGGAGCAGGTGGATTAGGAGGACCAGGAGGACCAGGAGCAGGATTTGGTGCAGGAGCTGGAGGACCTGGAGGAGCTGGTGGTTTTGGTGGGCCAGGCGGCTTCTGGGGTCCCGGTCAAAGTTTTATTGGAAGCGGAGCAAGTAAAGAAAGCAGTGGAAGATCGCTCGATAAAGTAAGTGATGATAAAAAAGTGATTTTTTTTTTAAATAAATTTTTAATACAGTTTATTCATTTAAAAACAGTCGGGAAGAGAAGGCACTACTGACGGGGGTTTATACGGCATGTGCCAAACGCCGATGTTTGGAAAAGGGGGTGCAGTTTATACAAGACACGGCGCCTTTTGTTTAAGCACCGAGGCGTATCCTGATGCTTTACATCATGTGAGTAAAAGTTTATTTAATATAATTAAAATAATAAAACTAATAAAGAATAATAAATAGAAATGTAGTAATTAAGTTTTAGACGATGGACTTAATTATAAAAACAGATAAATAATTCACCCATTAATATTCCAGCTGTGCTATTTTCATAGTATATATTAGAAATTTGATAACGATTCAGAATAACTTAAAAACGTCAAATTTTATAAACTGTCAAAACTACAAAAAATATGAACAAATCGGACTTTGTTGCGAAAACAGAGTTCTTCGAGCAGTAGTAAAAACTTTACAAAAACTAGGACTCTCATGTGTGTAAAATATAATCTTGATGTTATAGTATAAATATTCCATATAATTAAAACCATAATACTGATATAAATGATGTCTTTATACAAACCTGAATAATATAAAATATTGTCAGATATCAAAAGACAACATTAACCTAATTGTTTCCAAATTAGCAACTGCAACTAAAATTTCAGTGATCATTTTTAGAATGTTTTTTTTTTTTGACTAATATAAAATGAATTAGGATGAATAAATAATTTAAATTTACCTTTGCAGGAAAATTTTCCATCTATAATGCTGACTCCTGGCAAAGTATATAAACATAAAATACAATATAAATTCGGTCTCCAATTCAATCCAGACGGCTGTTTGATTCCGACTCCTGACGTAACACCTCAAATATCCGAGCAATCTCTAAACCACATGGACTTCGAGCAGAATTTTAACGCAGAGATAAATTTAATATAATTCATCCTGATTTTGATAAAAAGAGAAGATCCAAAAAATATGTCATATGCATAGAATAGATCTGTTGCCATTGAAACCTTGGTAATATTGATATTCTTAAATTTTTTGAAGTTCTGGTGCTTTTTCTATGTATATGAATCGTTACATGTTACATTGTAAGTAAGTCATACATTGATGACTGAGTCATTTCTGGGTCTAATCCCAATCACAAGGAGATTTCGAACTTGTTTGTGTGTTTGTGTGTGTGACCATACATACAAAATAATCGGTGCGTCACTCAAATCACAGGAAGACATCGACTTTAGGCCAAATGCGATAAGGACGAGCGTCGGTAGAAATCTGTATACCACAAGCTATTGGCAACTTTTATTCCAAATCATTCTAAACTTGCATGATGAATTTACATAATTAAAAGTTTATGATTTGCATATTGTTAAAGTATCCGTAAAAAATCTGATAAATTTGTAATGTCTATCTCAAATACATAAAAATACATTTATGTTCCACTGTTTCTTCAGTATTTCCAAAAGCAATTGATATGTCCAACAAATTAACTTCAAACCATCAAAATCCGTTTATTTGTTCTTCTAAAAATCATCAAATAAACATAAATCTTACCCAAGACATCTATTTTTATCTAAAAAATAACAATATAATCGTTTCAAGTCAATAAGCAAGTCCTTTCAAGCTTAAAAAATCACAGTTTCATGAAAAATAAATTATAAATGAATTGCGTTTCTGAATAAAAATAATAACCTTTTCTTCAAAAATTTAAGAATACTTTCCCAGATCTTATTAAAATAGGAATCCAGAAAACATCAGTAAATACTTGATGCAAAAACAATAAAACACAAAATAGTAATAATACATACATACATATATATATTATCTATCAACCAACATTTTACAAACATCTTTAAGATTATTTTTGTGTGTACTATCAAAGTACACAGATATAAAAAAAATGTTTACTATTATTTTGTACTGTATCTTTTTCACATTTGTGGAATAATATAATTAAATCAATCACTGAAGACTTTGAAATTACTAATTGTTCTAAAAACATTAACGATAATAACAAATATGCATAGAGCAGGTAATTTAAATTGAAAAAAGTGATGAAATTTCTGCATCATTGATGCAACTTGGAAATATGAATTAAATATGCCAAATAAGATAATGATTATTGACATTTTAGAAAAATTTATGGCATGTAATTACAGAACTTAATAGAACTTCTTTAGCCTACAAAAGTACATATAATAAAGAAATACAAATGATTTTTCTTTCACCAATATGCACACTATATTTTCTAATCTTAACTAATTTTATGTCATATCTGAGATTAATAAATAAATTTAAACCTGAGGTGCATATTAAATCACATATTAATTAAGAGCATATATAAATTATTGCACTATGCATATTTGCTTTAGCAAATAATATTAAGAAAAAATCACTTTAAGTATCACTTGTGCTGTTGTACAATACTCAAATTGTACTAGTACGTATAATAAAATCTTTAGCTTATCTTCATATCAAATATAAAACTCTATGTATATATAATATATTATTTACAAATTTTACTATTTTCTTTGTTTTTTCTTTGTAATGTCTGGGTACTGGCAATGCTCTCTTCTGTGCTCTTCGTCAATTGCTCCACATTCAGTTTGGTCGATTCTTCCAAATTTTTATTTTTAACATTTAAGTCATCTTCGGACACCTGTTCAATTGAGATTTTTAAATGACAAAAATCCTTTCGGTGTAAGCAGAATGAGGTTAAAGCCAGTTCAATGAGCAGTGAATATGATATGATGATCTTTGAATTGTTACACAAACACCAGAGAACAGAAAACACTGTGCATCCACCAACAACATTAATAAATAAACAGTAACTATTAGGTTCTTTAAATAATATTTAAATTAAACTAACACTTTTTTCTCAACTGAAGATTTACTTAAATTTGATACACTAAGCTTCTAGCTTGAAAATAATAACAAATTTGCTTCTAATTGTGAGATATAGATATATTCGGACTGTCAGTAAGCAAGATTAAATATAGAGTCAAGAAAATTATCCTTAAATGACTCTGCTATGAATAATGATTTGTGGTTGTAAGTGTTGAATATTTGTAGTTTTTAGTAATTGTTGTGTATATATTTTAAGTGTTGTATATCAGTTTTAAAATCATTGATTTCTCATTTGTATCTTTAGTTTATCAACTGCACACTATACTCATTCAAAATAAAATTAAAATATCAAATGGCATTCCACCATAATTTAAAAGCTTGCAAGAGTAACATCAGAATTATAAAGTTTTTCTTTTTCTTAAATTATGTAGGTATATTTAAAAATAGCATAAATAATTATATATTAATTGTTACTAATATGGCACTACCATGCTATAAAACATGAGTAATAAGTGAATAATCATGCAAAAATATTAAATCACTTACCTTAGCTTCATGTCCCGAGCTAGGAACTGTACTCTTCTGCTGTGATGATTCAAGATGCAAAGTTTCACTTGGTGGTACAAAACTTTTCTGTTGAGACTCTTGCTTTTCTTTCTTTTCTTCCAATTCAATAACTTCCTCCTTTTTCAAAAGCTGAACCAACTCATCTAATTGTTTTGTACTCATGATACCATCTTCTTTTTCCACAATGTCAATAACCTAAATAAATTAGAAATTTGGTATAAAATATATAAAGAAAGATATGGGCAAAATGGTATATATGGACAAAATTTGAGTAACATTTAGTCGCGGACTGTTTAACGTGACGAAAATCATCACAACTCTGTCAGATGTTGGGCGTCATTGTCACAGTCTTGTGCAGTAATCAGTTCAAATGTGTTTCGCTTTTTGAAGTTTATTTTGGGAGAGTTTTTCTCGTGTTGTTTGGGGACCTATATTGATATTCGTGATTATTTCAATTAAAATCAATGAATTTATGCATGTACTACTAATTTCAATCAATTTTATTGCAATAATCATGTGTTTGATGGAATTTTGATTAATTGTTTATTTTTGTTCACTTTCGGACATAATACTATTTCACAAAACTTACTGGTTAATTCGAGGCCAAGAAATAAAATTGTAAACCTGTAAAAAGTAAGTAGCTTTTCCAACTACTTTTAAAATAGACCAAAGAATCCAGGTAAAAATAAGATTTAATTTTTTTGCAAAAACTCTTTTCCCGTTATGAATTCGGCGAAGATTGATATGCTGATTATGATTTAAACCCTTACTCATGCATTATGAGCTGATATCTCAAAAAGGACCAAACAATTTATTTGTAAACTGCCTCTTAAAATATGGACAAAATAGTTTTTGTATTTAGTTGCATTTCTCCTTAATAAGTATGTCATTAAAGTTCCTACTTAATTAAAATACATGTTACCGGTAGTCAATGAATCTAAACTGAGTAAAAACGATTGAGACTTATTATAATACCATTAAATAAATGAATATCATAAACAAACAAAGCTCCATAACATTTTGTCCTTTTTTCTCCTAATTTCTCAAATAATCATTCAAAGATATCTGTATCAATATAATTAATTACTATTTACCTTCAATACATCTTCAACTTTGATATGCCTATCTTTGTCAGTATCGATCCTGCCCAAAATGTTCTCAATTAATTTCAAGCGATTTTCGTCTGGCACATTTTTAACTTTCTTAATAGCGTCCATTAATTCGTCAATTAAAATCTCTCCTCTTTCTTTCCTTACATCTAATTCTAGAATAATTGAAATTAAAATGTTAAATAAAATTTAAATCAAAAGTAATTGAATCAAATTTATTAAGAAATCTATTGTTAATTTATTCATCTATTATTATTGTTATTTTTTTATTATATATTACCTTGAGTTTCAGTAGCGCTCCTAGGAGCTTCAAGTGGCAATGTTTTGGCTTTCTTCTCAGATTCTTTACTTTCAATTTCTTGTACAACAGTATCCATTTTCGTTATCATTTTGTTAACCTTCTTCAACAATCTGTAAAATTATAATAATATAACAAATTGAAATCAATACTCATGTGATTTTTTTTTTTCAATAAGTCCAATCTAAAATTAGGCAACACCAAGATTAAAAAACTGAAAAGTTGTTAGTTAATGTATAATGAATATGAAACTATCTGTAAAATTCTAAAATTAGGCAATACCAAGATTAAAAAACTAGAAAGTTGTTAGTTAGTCTATAATGAATATGATTTTACCGTTGAGCTCCTTTAGTTTCTTTTATCTCATCCTTTGGTTTCTCAGCAGCAACTATGGCTTCTTTCAATTCTTCTACATCTTCTTGGTAATCAGCAATTTCTTCCTTAATGTCTTTAATAACTTCCTTTTCAATCACCAAATTATTTTTGTCTTTCGATAGTGTATCCAATGCATCTTCAACAACCTATGACATAAAAAGGATTATAATAAAAAAAATTATAAAATTTAAAATATAATGTATTTGTATTTGAATTTTCATGTTTCAAGACCTTCGGATTCCCTAGTAAACATTAAAATTATCACCTCAAGATCTTTCTTGGTGAATTCCACCTCATCAGCATTCTTATCCACTTCGGTTGCAACAGGTGTTTTAGGAGCACCCATAATCAGAACTTCTGGTGGTG